ACAAAGGCTATGGAAGTTGAGGCCAAAAAGATGCGAAGAGAAGTAGCTGCTATGGAGAAGGAGGTTGCTGCCATGCGCTTAGAAAAAGAGCAAGAAAACAGAGCGAAGCGCTTTGGTAGTGCCCAGTTACTCGCTGGAAGGTCAGTGTTTTAAACTTTTATAGTTGGTCAGGCAAGTTACAATTTTCATTACTCTAATGGATAAAGATATACCTATTCTAAAAGGAACATAAAAAATTTACCTGATCTGCTGACCTTATCTATTAACTATTACTAAAACAAAACATGTTGACATCATTAAGGGACACGTCAACTTTATATGAAAATTTTTCCCGCCAAAACTATTTTTGACATCATCATTAATTTTTTCCCTATTTTTTTTTCTTATATGTTCTAAGATTAAAAAAATACAGTACTTCTTTCAAAATTAATTAAAGAGTTATGATTACACATTTTCAAATAAATTAAGAATATTTATTGACAAGCTATTTTAAACTAATAATATCTAATTAATCCGTGCAACGCACGGGACAAAACTAGTTCTTTTCTACAATAGAATGGAAACATGATTTTTCTTAGGGATCATAAAATTAGAAAATTTTGATAATGTGGGCTCCATTCTATCAATTTGTAAATTACAAATAGTTAGGTTATGTTAGGGCTACAATGCCAAAGACTATTGCTCATGGTAGATATTGATAAATTTACTATGCTTTACGGAGTAAGTCTCTATTCTGCATAATGTTTGGTCCGGAATAACGTGAAATGAAGTACATATATGTGGGACTTATAAGGAGTGCTTGATTGAGATGTTCTCAAACTAAAATTCCGTAGAAATTGTTTCTTGGAAGTTATGCAGTGGTTAAGCTCCTTTTATTTATTTATTTTTTTTAAAACAAACCATACGCTATTGCTTCATTGAGTATTTGTTTAGGATTACTGTGAATAGCCCAGCTAAATAATTACCTGCTTACACTGTACGGGTCTAAATATTTTCCAGATATAAATCTTTTCCCTGTTCACTTGTCCATTTTCTCATATCCTTGTTACTTATTTTTTCCAAACCTTCCTTCAATCACTTAACTTTCTCTACCCTTCTGATTCAGTAAGACTGTGGAGTACCATAAACTTATTGTACTTAAGGGGTGTTTGGCTAAGGGTGTATGGAAGAGCTTTCAGAAAATTTTGTGCTCCTACTTAAATCTTTAGAATGCTTTTATTTAGGTCATATGAAGGTAGCATATTTAATATGCATGTTGATAACGACTTTTTACATGAAAATTAATCAGACTTTGTTACTTAGTTTATCAGCCTCAGTAGGTAAATTTGTAAATAATCAAATATTCTTAGTAAGTTGCTCAGAATCTGTTTTGTTATGTGTAAGAGGATCTGTCAGACAAGGCCGTAATTGATACTTCTAAAATCCTTGATAGGATCTATCTAAGTGTTGCCCAATCTGTTTAGTGTTAATTGCTAATATGCTATCATACAACCTTAGAGTAGCGCAAGTTGGTTTTTTGACATATGAAGCAGTGGTAATATATTGCTGTGTTCCAAGTAGTGGCTTAACATCTGAGTGTCTAGAAATGATTGTGCACTCTTGTGCAGTTATGCCCTTATTTAGTAACTGTCTTTTTCCCCTATGTTTCCTAACTCTCACTTTTTTGCAAAAGTATATTATCCATTTAAAGTTGATTGCTGGTTCTTACACTAATTTTATAATAAACCGTTGTAAAATTCCATTTACCTTTACCCTTAGTTATTATTAGCCTTAGGCTTTCTGGAGCAGAAACCAACAACTTCTGGAAGTATTCTGTAGGTAAATTAATCTCACTCAATGAAGACGAAATTGCTCCAAAAAACAGAGATATCAAGGAAACATTACTGAAAAATATTCTACCGTTGCAAGGTTATCATAGTCCCTTTCTTTCATTCCCTAAGACTTCCATGGCCTCACCTGTTCTCCAATAGTTATGTCATGTTCTTAAACTCTAGTGACTGCCTTCTCCATCTCTTACCAAATGCAATCATCCACATTTGATACACACATTTCTGCATGTATGGAGTATTCTGATTACTAGTTACATATTTGGTTATTTCCTTCTTAAAATACATAGGGTCATTCATTTATTCATTGTTGCTTTTCCCATTTTTTCTTGTTATTTCCCCTTATGTAAGAGGTGCAAAATGGTTTATTATCAATTTTTTTCTTGCATTTCCTCCCTAACAAAACAGCTATTAAAATGGATGAACAATAACAACAGAGAAGATAACTGACGTTACCAAAAAAACAAAAAACAAATAAAAAGAAGATTTGACCTTAACATTTAGCAAAGAACAAAATGTTATGTGTTCCTTGATATAGAGAAATTTCCCATGTTTCCTAAGTAGCTTTGAAAGTTTTGGGCAAACTATAAGAATCTTTAGTGAATGTCACAGTTATGTCTAGTGAGAGTTGAAAAGGATGGGTTTAAACTAGGTGTATAGCCAGAGAGGTAAAAAAAGCTATAAATATTGTCCACTTTGGCCATCTCAACATTATCAAACTGAGGAATTTTGTGTGCTTGTAGATCCTTGTATCGAATTTCATCTTATTCCCTTGAATGGCATGTCTTCTTAAATTACTGCTTCCTTTGTTTGGTTTCTCTAAAGAAAAATGTTATTTTTGAAAATATACATTGAGGTGAATCTAGCATGATCCCACTTAACTATATTTTTCCTTGGCATAAATCACTAAAGATAGAAAAAGTAGTGTGTAATTTAAGTGTTATCTGAAAAACAGTGAAGTATCAACCTGTGAAGATTAGATTAAGGTTAGAACTTGTGCTTGTGCTTGGGCTAGAATTTGTATACTGCTGATTATTGCATCAAGATCATTTCATAAAGATAACGAGGAACATGTGGGATTCTAATGCTTGAAGCACATTGGTTGTCATGACTCATGATGGCAACGTTATGCGGTTACCTTGTCTATGCAAGTCTAATTCTCAAACCACCAATTGTAATTTCTGCAGGGCTGCTGGACGAGGTGGTTTAACACGCAGCACTCAATAACAGCTAGCAAGAACAGCTTTAGGAGCTCTTTAGGAGTGAAACTGGACAGTTCTGCTCCAATGTGTCCTTTTCTTATTCTTTATATATCTTATTTGGTGATTGGTTATAATATTGCAATCAGCATCCCAGTTATTCTGTATTAAGTGGAAATTATGGCATCCTTACTTGGTATGCTTCTGACGTTGACTGCTATCGCCGTATCGCATGCTGAGACTTTCGGGTTAAGGATATCGAAGTAACTAACCTTATGGCAAGAGTATTTTCAAATGGCAGTGGTGTGCTTGTTGTATAGATAGGGATATTAGTCTTCTAGCTCATGTGCTGGAGCCCCTTGTATTTGTAGTCAGCTAGTGTGATGTTTTTTCAGGTTTGTTAATATTCTTGGAATCAGATCAAAATCAGAGTTGCAGTTTCTATTACCGTTTCCTATTGTTCCGTCTGCTTTCTTCTGTTGGTATTGCTTAAGCTAACAATGGAATCATATATAAGCGGAAATTTAATTTACTTTTAGATTTTAATATGGAGAACTATCAAAAATTGATCTGATCCAAAGATACTAAACCAATGTGATGCATTAATCTATTCTCAAGTTTGATTTGTATGGACTCACTGACTTGATACAGCCATTTTCTAACTAGCCTAATTTGAATATTCTTGATTCGCAATCTCGAGTTTCAAATATAAATTTTAAGGTTAAAAGTGGCTCTAGTTTACTACTATCTCCATTTCTAAAAGTTCTTTTCATTTTGACTCTGCATGTTTGACGATGCATTACTTTGAGAATATTCACTAATGATTTAGGCTTTAAACACTCAAGATTTAGGCCTTTTTTTGCAAACATTAAGGGATGAGGGTAATAAACCATTAAAAGTTATTGAGATTAGGCCTAAGGGACAAAGGGAGTAAATCATTAAGAGAAGTGAAAATAGAACATATGAATAATGCAAAAGTTAAAGTACTACAAGTGAATAAAACGAAGGAATGAGTAATTGAAATGGAAAAGAATAATGCCCAACTTTTGGGCAAACAAGGCAAATACATAGCTTCTTCACCTACGGTTATATAGATGTAGACTCTTCCTTTTGTTTTTGCCAAATTGATATGGTAAAATCTCCACTCTAGTTTAGGCTTAGTCATGAAGATGGTTCTAACACTTCTAAGCTAATGTCGAAAAGACCATGCTAAACTCCATCAATATCATTCATGCATCTAAGCATAATTTATTAAGTTACTAGGTTGCCACGTACCCTCATTTTTCAATACAAAATAAATTTTTTAGCTTCCTTTACTTTTGGTCATGTTTGGGATGGATGAACTTGAAAGATTGTCATTTGCTCTTATTTTATATTATCTCAACTTATCAATTCTTATATTAATTTGATGTAAACTCATTAACCCTTATCTTGTTTCTTCTAATTTGTTTTGAAATCATCCTTTGTTTTTGTTTACTTGCAACATTTTGGATTACACACTATTTATGTATTTCACTTTAACTGTTTTTGGTAATTTATCGTTAAGAAAAACTATAATTGTGTAATAACTTGGTAGATTTGTCTCAATTTAGTGTTGTAAGTGTAAAAAACTAGGGGAAGTATTCTCTTATCTTATATAATTTGAAATAATTTAAGCTTACAAATCTAAAATTTTTTTTTTAAAAAATGGATTAGGATCGAGCCCAAATAAGAATTAATCCCTTTTTAGTCTTTGAGCATGGCCAATATTTGCCAACTTTCTTGTAAAGTCTAGTGCTCTAGTCCATCCAATAGTACAATATTATTGGATCCCAATCTTACAACTTAAGGTAAGAAGAATACTTTATACTTACTCCATGTACTGCAAAGTCAAGCTACTTATTATTCAACATTTCAATTGGAATAAGATTATATATCAATTTTGAATTGAAAAACACACACAATAATCTCTTATTTAATATAAACAAACAAATGATTTTTGTGTGCATTGCACATGCAAAATGCACATATCATAACATAAACTCGTCCAACCAACAATCCAACAAACTCAAAGAATAAGTTACACTTTCATCACTTCAATAATATGAATAAGTTTGTATGCACAACCCATAAAAAAAATATATTACAATCTTAGAACACCACAAATACGATCACAAGAATGAAACATCTCAATAATAGCGAGATATGGCGATAACTAGATCAACGCTAATGCCAAAGATCAGAATCGCGAGGCCAGTGAAGTTGATCAATCGACCCTCGTTGCTGTTAGCCAATTTAAGGATAGTAAACAATTGCATAAGTCCTGTTTCAGCCGTGCATATTGCGAAATACAGCAATGCTCTTCCGAAACACACATGCCACGGCGCTAACCTTGCTCTTGTAGCGCCTGGCCTTGGTAACCAAAATGTGACAAACCCGAAGAACCACTACAATTGTACAATATTTGAATTGTAACAAGTCTGAATTCGAGACGTACCCAATAATAATAATGCAATAATCATGGATGGAATTTAGATTTTTTTACCTGGATTCCGTAAACAATGAAGGTTCCGAGACCTATCCAAGAATGCAAGCTATACATGTTGGTAACGTTTGCCTTGTAATGGTACTTAAAGGCAGCATATACACCAATAATTCCCAGTGTAATCGCTATTACGTGCATTAACATGTGTGTCAACTTTTGCATCCGTGCTTCCGCATTTATGCTCTTGTACACCATCATGGCTAACCATATTATATATACATGCAACAAAATATTAGGATTAAATATGAAAAGCCACAAATATATATGACTTACTGGCTTTACAACCTGGGGCTCATATATAATAATAGTATGAACTTTAGAGCCATTATGGCTGATTATTGTACTCGTAATTATAAGTTATTCGTTCAATTGTGCCCTTATAATGCAAATCGCACTTTCTGGTCCAATTGCTGATAGTTGAAGTCTATGATAGGCTTATATATTCTATCATTGTATTTTTATTGTTCGTACTTAATATATTTAAACTAGGCATGCAGGTTTTCGGCAGATTTTTTTCGGCCGGGAAATTTTTATTTTTTGGGCGAACTTGGGCATACGCTTAAATGTATTTTTAGTTATTTTTTGGACCAGCTGAAAAACCCACATGCCTCAGCCATTTTGGGCGGGTTTGGACATGTGATTTCCGGCCCAAATTTTGATCCAACCTGAGAAATGGGCTGATTTTTGATCTCAGCCTGACCCGACCCGCATTTTGATAAAGTCTAATAAAAAGTGAGACATAGGGAGCCGAGGGGGGGGGGTGCTGAGGGTGGCAAAATTACCTTGACCAGCAAAGAAAATGAAACCAAAGAACATGAGAAAAATATGAACCTGCACAAAATATTATAGTCATCGTACTTAGTCAAACGATAATGAATTCATTAACAAACTAATTAAGCTAAAATCAAGATTATAATAAATCAGCAACTAACATTGAGAATACGGTATGGATTATCAGAATCAAGACTAAGACCGCCTCGATAATGCAACAGCCAAACTAACAACAAGATAATAGACAAAATTCCGAAGAAATGTGCCACTGGTGTAATGCTAGATGCTCGTCTTCTGTACCAATCTCTCTCGATAGCATCCATGGTCGTGTTCGTGTACGTAAAACTTAGTTTTTTCTTGAAGTTATAAATTAGTGGTGATTATGGTGGTAAGAGCTGAGTTATAGTATATATATAAAGAAATAAAGTAAAAGTTCTTTGGATATAAAAAAAAGTATGGAAAGTAAAGTAATCAAGGAGCAGGTTGCTGATTTTTCAGCTTTGGGATTGCTTTTATAACAGGTTTAGCATATTTATGTATGCTGCAAAGTTACTATAGTATGAATTTAGCTTTTTCTAAACAACAAATTTTACTATACACTGGCCTTATAATCTTAGTTGTATGCTTATCTGTAAACTATTGTTGAGCTGATCTTATCAAAGGACTGTAATTCTAAATTTCTAATGCTGCCTTTGGAAAAAAGAAATCCTTTCATCCTAAAACAATAGATTGATCACGTGTTGGGATCGATTTTTATAAAAATGAGTACTCCGTTGTTTACATATTTTATGTCTCGTTCGATATAGATTCCTAATTAGGGTCATTTTGAAAAAATAAACATAGGTGATCACCATTTCAGTGTAGAAGAATTGGAGGATACCATTGAATTTCTTTTTTTGATTTTATGATTTAAAAGCTACATGTTATACATTCAAATGGAGTATAAATTTGATGGAAAAATTGAATTTTTTTTTTTTAAAAAAAATACACAAAAGATAGGACAGTTTGATGAGAAAATTTGATGTTTTAAGAAAATAGTCGGTGATAAGGCAAAAAAAAAAAAACATTAGGGTAATTCTCAATGGTGACCTCCAAGTTTTGCTACACCTCAATGGTGATCCTCTTGAAATTGAATTATACAAAATGACTTTATTTTAATATTTTATCCCACTAAATAACCTTATTTCATTAAATAAGAGGCAAATGGTACATGAATTTTCATATGATGATCTTATCAGTCAACTTGAGGATCATTTTGAACAAGAGAAGAGCCAGGAGCTCAAAGATTTGAGAGAGATTCAAAATAGAGTTCATATTTTGACAACATTTCAGATTTAAATTATTTTTTAAAAATAAAAGTTATAACATTAAATATTTTAATCTATTATCTGACGAATAGGATTCCATATTTATGATTAAATTATTAATAATAAATTCAATTTCCACATAACTAATACCAGCGAATAAGGTCACATTATATATTACATTAAAATAATAAAAATTATCCATTTCAAACAAGCAAATTAATCAAAATATTATATGGTCTTTTCGTGAGACTTATGTACTCCGTATAAAAAAAACCTATGTATTGCAGTGAAAAAAGAGATTCACATCTTATTTTAGAATTAAAAAATCAATCGCCACATAAGCAAAATCAACGAATGTGATTTGAGAATTTAATTTTATGTGCCACATTGGTAAAAAAAAACGACGAATAATCATTTAAGGTTTAAATTATTTTTGTAAAAAAATTATCTTCTCACATTAAAAATTTTATCCTAAAATTCAATAGATGAAATAACATATACAAAGACAATATTTTGACTAATGGAAATTTTTTTTTTGCATTTCTAATAAGAATTAAAGAAAAAAAAAATTAACATGAAATATTTTAATCTAATATCCGATCAGTGAGATACCATATTTATAATTTATTTATTGGTTTTTTCACCGTATACCACTGAGTTATTTCAAAATTCACCATATACCACAAAAAATTTTCTAATACACCAAATACCACTCGGTTAATGTATATTAACACAGAATACCTTTTTTGTTAACAGTCGTTAGTATGTCGTTAACGCCATTAGTAATTAAGGTTAATTGTGTCACGTGGCTGTCACTTATTGGCTCTTATTAATATTAACTAACTTATAATAATAATACACCACCAACGCCCCAGCCAGCCCCGACCCCTACCCTCAGCTGGTTAGTGCCTGATCCACTTCCCGGCAGGCCGACGACGATCCCCCTCCCCCGTCAGTGACAACCCTGACCCAGCCACCACCTTATCCAAATTCCCCAACTACCACCTTAGCCCAATTCCCCACTCCTAGCTTAAAACCCAGCCACCACCCCGAAATCCCTTCGCCGGCAACCCCTCTTCCCCTTCCCCTCCCTTTTCCGACCACCCCCTCCCCCTCCTTTCCCAACCAATTTCTTCAGCATCGCAAATTCACAGGTGAAGGGTTTAGGGTGATAGAGAGGGAATAAGGGGTGCAGTAGTGGGGACTTCAGCCGATTTCAAAGGTTCGTGGGTGGGGGATGGCCGGAAAGGGACGAGATAGGGATTTCAAGGGTTCATGGGTGGGGGATGGTCGCCGACGTTGGGGGAAGGGGTCGAGAATGTTGCCGGCGGGGAAATAAGGAATTAGGGAATCGGGGAAGCTTCAGGCAGGGAGGGGTTACAGGTGGGGGATGGTTTTCGGGGAAAGGGAGTAGGAGTGGAATGGTCGCCAGCCAGCTAGCCGTGGGGGTTGGGGTTGGGGTTGGGCTGGGGGCGGCGGTGGCTTGTGTTGGTGGTGTTTAATTTTTATTTTATTTTAAAAAATAATTTTTCTTAATTTAATTATTTAAATAAATAATATTAATTAGAACCAATTATAAGCTGCCACGTGGCGTAATTAACGTTAATGACTAACTGAGTTAACGGAAATGGCATGTTGTGACATTTATGTTAAACTCAGTGGTATTTGGTGTATTAGAAAATTTTGTGTGGTATATGGTGAATTACGAAATAACTTAGTAGCATATGGTGAAAGATTCGTTTATTTATTAATTATACGTTCAATTTTCACATAACTAATAAGAGCATCTCCAATAGCTAGTATACAAATAGGGACTTGCTTGCAAATTAATTAAAAATGAAAGCATGTAGCTTACCATTGGAGTGGAAAACTGATGTAGCTAGATTAAGCAACGTTGCTCAAACAAGCTACATTGCTTGATTTTTCAAAGATCAGATAACATCACCCATTTAAAATATGACATGTGTATAATAAAAACTTACTTACTTATTTATTTATTTATTTTTCTTCCAAGCTACATTATGATACAATTAACCATTGGAACATTTTGTAGCTACAAAATATACTAGTTTGAATATTTGATGTGACAAGGTAAGCTACAAGGTATTAGCTTACCATTGGAGATACTGTTACAAAGAATAAGGCCGCATTATAAATTATATAAAAATAATATAAACTAGATAAAGGTCGTACGATACACAGTTTTTTTGTATTTTTTAACACAAATATTTTTTGTATTTACGTGATAAAATTTATTACTTTATTTATTGTATGTTGTATAATATATCCTTTAAAATTTTTATTTTAAAATAAATGGTGAATTTTATTTTCTCATTCGTTATATATTTAGATAAAATTCATAATCTCAAAAAATAATATTTTATATTTAATTAATTTAAACTTTAAAATTTTATTCGACAATTTTGCTTATGTGACATTTGAGTTACTTAATTCTAACAGAATTTACAAATCTCTTATACAATTGGTTGTAACTAAAATTTATAATCCTATATAGCGCGTTAAGAAAATTTAATGCTTCGTGGCTCTCTAAAAATTTGGGAAAAACTCCCCTTATATATATTTACTAATTAGCCCCGCGCGATGCACGGTAATTAACAAATAAAATTATAGTGTAGAACTTGCATATGCAAGGAATCTTCTCGGGGCGTTAGGTAACTAATTAATATAGTACTTAAAATAGTATTTAAGTTCAGAATGCATGACATAATCACGCGTTGACATTCCTTTAATATTTTCACATTTAGTTTTCTTATCTAATGCCTCGGGGCACTCGTTAACTTTTGTCATAGATAAAATCTTAAGCCTATGTAAACATTCAATGCTTTCTATATAATTGACCTCTAGTGATGGCCAACTTTAAATTAAATGAAATAACACTCAAAATTATCAAATACAGAATAAGGAATACTACAAAGTTCAAATATCAATTTTTTGAAAGATAAAAAAGTACCATCGTTAACACATTCAATAATATGTCAAAATATTAAGCTTGATGATAAAAAAAAATAAAAAAAAAATTGTAGTAAGAAAATATTCTAATTTAAAAAAAAAAAAATTAAAATTTCTGTATTAAGAAGCAACACCAGCAATATGATTAATCATGTAAAAGCAAAACAATCATTAATGCGAAGTATAATCTTTAAATTTTCGGCACATATATACAACATGCTCTAAATAGTGTGACACTGGTGGACAACTATATAACGAAGAAAGAAGAGTAGAACAAAAAAAATGACCGTAAGCTATAAGGAAAAAAAAAAAAAGATTATCTTCATCAATAGAATTGGAGAAAGAATTTGAGAGCTTTAGATTCATATCAATGACTTTAAACGAACAATCAATCAAATTGAATCGAAAATGTGTTTAAAAATTTCAGGGGACTTTAGAAGTATGAACATTCAGTTAAGGTTTTTTTTTTTTTTTTTTTTTTTTTTTTTTTTTTTTTATTTTTTATTTTTTATTTTGACTGGAAGAAGAATATTGTCATTAATAAATAGTCATACGACATTTACAATAATAATAAAGATTTATAAACAACAGATTTATAGAAAATAACATAACTTTTACAATCAAAATCATAACTATATTTTGTATATCGGGCATAGCTCACACTCCACTGCTTCAAACTTAACGCGAGCAGTGACTTTTGATGTCATTGCATCTTTCCAAGTAGAGACCTTTGCAATCTGCGCTGATGTTTTGATTGTAGAGTTGATGACAAACCCTAAACCCATATGAATCTAAATCACCTTCTCAATTATTATTAAAACCCTAAAAATAAAATTCTCATCCATAGATGAGAATCAAAATCCCAGAAAATTGGGAAAAACCTACAAAAATTTGGGACAAACACTCACAAACGGAGAGAACAAAACAAAGCATAACAAAACAATAACAAATAAGTAAATTAAATCCAAGAAAAAGGGTCGGAAATAGTCTAATAAACGGCCAAGAAAATTAAAACCCTAAAAAAGAGAGGAGAGAGAAGAGAGAAAAGAGAAAAGAGAAAAGAGAGAAGAGGGAGGCGGCTTGCATAATTATCCAGTTAAGGAATTGACGAAA